CTCTACTAACAAAATACAAAAAACTAGCCCAGAGGTGGTGGCCCTGTAGTCCAGCTACTTCAGGAGACTGAGGCAGGAGAATGGGCGTAAACCCAGGAGGTGGAGCTTGCAGTCTGAGGCAGGAGAAATGGCGTAAACCCAGGGAGGTGGAGCTTGCAGTGAGCTGAGATCCGGCCACTGCACTCCAGCCCTGGGCCGCAGAGTGGAGACTCCGTCTCAAAAAAAAAAAAAAGTCATGATGGTATAAAGACACATGCACACGTATGTTTATTGCGGCACTATTCACAATAGCAAAGACTTAGAATCAACCCCAAATGTCCATCAGTGACAGACTGGATTAAGAAAATGTGCACATATACACCATGGAATACTACGCAGCCATAAAAAGGTGAGTTCATGTCCTTTGTAGGGACATGGATGCAGCTGGAAACCATCATTCTCAGCAAACTATCCGCAAGAACAAGAAAACCAAATACTGCATGTTCTCACTCATAGGTGGGAATTGAACAATGAAATCACTTGGACACAGGAAGGGAACATCATATACTGGTCCTATTGTGGGGAGGGGGTAGGGGGAGGGATAGCATTGGAGATATACCTAATGTAAAATGACGCAGTTACCAGCCTGGGTGACAGAGCGAGACTCCGTCTCAAAAAAAAAAAAAAAAAAAAAGAACAGGATCATAAGTTTAAACTTAAAACAGTTTATAACTGTTTTCCCTCTGGTCTTCTGTCAGCAAGATGTCAACAGCCCTCTCTATTGTAAATGCATTAACCAGCATCTTCTCTGATAGAAATTATAAGAAGATAAGCCGTGTCCACCACTCAGCTTCAGAGACCTCATGGCTTCTGGGTAAAGAAGGAGGTATACCCTGTAGAAGGTACTGTGGAAGTTCATTAAGTTGATTCAAGAATCGCAATTGTGGGGAGTATTCAGTGTCCCATATGTAAAAGGAAACTATGAAGAGATTAAGCCACATTTTTTAATGTGTCAGAATTCTAATTTACATAATCAGTAAGTGTTACTACAACCGCAAAAGTAAATATCCACTTAAAAGTCAATTTTTGTTCATGTTTAATGATAGACAATGTTTCAAGCTAGTGTCTAGAACTTACCTGGTTGTTAAACATTAGCATAGATCTCCCTGAAAGAGTGGTGCTATATTATTATTTTTAAATTAATATAAATTAAATACATATAAATTAATTGACATAAAAATTGAGCATATGGCCAGGCGTGGTGGCTCATGATTATAATTCCAGCATTTTAGGAGGCCAAGGTGGGTGGATCACCTGAGGTTGGGAGTTGGAGACCAGCCTGGCCAACATGGTGAAACCCCATCTCTACTAAAAATACAAAAAATTGGCCCTGTGTGATGGCGGTGCCTGTAATCTCAGCTACTCAGGAGGCTGAGGCAGGAGAATCACTTGAACCTGGGAAGTGGAGGTTGCAGCGAGCCAAGATCACACCATTGCACTCCAGCCTGGGCAACAAGAGTGAAAGTCCATCTCAAAAAAAAAAAGGGCACATAATAAAGTTCCCATATTATTCTGTCTTCTTGCCCTCACTTCCTAATTTTACCTATTACTAACATCTTACATTATGTGGTACATTTGCTAAAATCATGATAAAATATGGACACATTATTATCTGAAATCTATCATTTGCATAATGTTCTTTCTGTTACACATTTATATGAAGTTGGAAATATGTATAACATGTGTTCACTATTATGGTCTCATAAAGAATATGTTCACCTCCCTAAAAATCCCCTCTTCTCATTAATCTCTGTCCTCTTTCTCCAGAAACCTTGGCAATTATTAATATTTTTACTGTTGCTTCAGTTTTGCCTTTTCCAGAATGTCATATAGTTGGAATCATATATTATGTAGCTTTTTCAGATGAATTTATTTCACTAAATTGATGTATATTTGTTTCCTTCATGTCTTTTTTATGTCTTAATGGTATAAATTGGCACATTAAATCACCAAATAATATTGCATTAAATGGATTTTTGTCTTTGTATTCACCTGTTGAAGAATTTGGTAGATTTCTTTAGAAACCATCTGGGTCTGGTGTTTTCTTTTTCAGAATGCTCTTAATGTGAATTCAACTTATTTAATAGACATAAGTTTATTCAAATTATCTAGGATTCTAGTGTGACCTTGGGAAGATTGTCTTTCAAGGACTTGAGACATTGCACTGAGGTTATCAAACTGTGGTCATAGAATTGTTTATAATATTCCTTGATTATCCTTTTAATGCCCAACAGTTCAGTGGAGATGGCTCCTGTTTCATTTCTGAAATTGGTCATTTGTGTTATCTTCTTTTTCTTGGTTAGCCTGCATAGAAGTTCATTCATTGTAATGAGCATCTCAAAGAACCAGCTTTTGTTTTTATTGATTTTCTGATGATTTCAGTGTTTTAATTTTATTGACTTCTGTGATGTTGTCTCTTACTTCTTCTACTTGCTTTACATTGCATTCCTTTATTTTCTACAGTTTCCTAATTGAAACATGATATTACTGATTTTAGATCTTGTGATTTTTAATATATTGCATCCAATGCTATAAATTTCCCTCTAAGGACTGCTTTTGCTACACCCAGAAATCTTGTCAAGTCACATTTTCATTTAATGTAGTTAAAGGTATTTTTAATTTTCTATTGAGACTTCTTTAACCCATGAGTTATTTAAAGGTGCATTGCTAATTTGTAAATATTTGGGGATTTTCTGGCTCTTTTACAGTTGTTGATTTTTTGTTGTCAGGTATGTGTTGCAAAAGCGGTGGTCTATCTCATCTTGCCACCTCCCAAGATGGCCCAGGATGTGGGCTCTCCCTGAGTGAATCTTTGGCAATCTGCCAGCCTGATGTGGTCGGCCTCCTTCTTTAGTCTGAGCTTGCCTTCTGCTTAGAAAGGACCGTTCTCAGTTCTGGCAGAGAGTTTTCCCAAAATTGAGAAGGTGACATTCTTACTCCCCAGTGCAGCCTGCACCTCTGACCTGTGGTCAGCAGACAGGACAGAGGCCCTCAGTAGACAGAGTTCAGCAGAGTCTCTGACCGAAATGCATCTTCAGAGTCTGCACCTACCCCCTGTGACCTCAGGCAGACTCTGTGTCCTAAAGCAGGAGGAACTGTGCGACCATCCTGTGGAAATTTGTGAGGCTCACCGTGTTACTCAAGTAAGGTCTTTGGAAAGTGTCGTATTACTACTGTTTGTTAACTGCTTGTTGGTGGCCTGGCTGGACCACACCCTGTATGAAAACCAGGACCCCTCAGCTGGTGTGGGTGTCTGTGCAGCCCGAGACCCTCATGTGAACAGCCTCATGGCAGCTGTCTTTTCCCCTTACCACCATCAGTGCCTCCTTGTTCCTGGGCCCTGCTTTCTCTGATGGGTGCTCCACTGTTTTCCTATACCTCAGTGACTACAGCTGGATGTCTCTTCTGGAATCTAGGCGAGGGGACATCAATAGCAGCTCTGCTGTGGCACTGCCCTCTTTCTTAGCTTGTCTTGCTCTGTCTCAGGCTCCCTCTAAAGATCCCACCCTTCAGGTTCTTCCACAAGTTTCTTATTGAAATCTGAGCAGAAAAATATGACCAATATGACCAATCCTATACCCATTGAAGACATGAATGAAGAATTAAAACAATTATCCATGGACTTTTCCATATAAATACCTAAAAATAATTTCTAAAAAAAATCAAGGAAGATGTAATAGTTTTCCATAAATTAGAATACCCAGCCAGGCACAGTGGCTCACGCCTGTAATCCCAGCACTTTGGGAGAACAAGGTGGGCAGATCACGAGGTCAGGAGATCGAGACCATCCTGGCTAACATGGTGATACCCCGTCTCTACTAAAAAATACAAAAAAATTAGCCCGGTGCGGTGGCGGATGCCTGTAGTCCCAGCTACTGGGGAGGCTGAAGCAGGAGAATGGCGTGAACCCGGGAGGTGGAGCTTGCAGTGACCCGAGATTGCGTCACTGCACTCCAGCCTGGGAGACAGAGCGAGTCTCTGTCTCAAAAAAAAAAAAGTTTCCCTCACCAACCTTCTCTCTTGCCCACTGGCAGTTAATCCCCACTCCCATCTCCAGCCCTAAGCAATACTGCTGTGATATTCCAGCTCCATAAATTTCCTGCGTATTTAATAGAAATGGACATATATATATATGTGTGTGTGTGTGTGTATGTGTGTGTGTATATATATATTTGGAACCTGACTTCCTTTAGCACACTATGTTTGAAGTTAATTGATGCTTTAGCACGTGCTGGTAGTGTGTTTTCCTTCAGAGTCTGTTGTGTTTATTCATACAGATAGTGTTTATTCATTTATCAGTTAATGGACATTTAATTATTTTTGTTTTTTGCTATGATGAGTAATATAGCTTTGAGCATTCATATACAGTCTTGTAATGCATAATGACATTTTGGTCAATATATACATATATATATTTTTGAGATCCAGGCTGGAGTGCAGTGGCACAATCTTGGCTCACTGGAACCTCCGCCTCCGAGGGTTAAGCAATTCCCATGCCCCAACCTCTCAAGTAGCTGGGATACCCAACACATGCCATCACACCCGGTTAAGTTTTGTATTTTCAGTAGAGACAGGGTTTTGCTGTGTTGGTCAGGCTCGTCTCAAACTCCTAGCCTCAGGTGATCCACCCACCTCTGCCTCCCAAAGTGCTGGGATTATAGGCATGAGCCACCGCACCCAGCCTAAATTTTTTAAGAAACAAGAGAACTATATTCTAAATTAGCTTTGCCAATTTATATTCCTACAATGATGCATAGCACTAATTTCACTGCACAATGTATGGCAGGCCCCAATATGTAAGAAATGGTGAAAGTAACACATAAAGATTAGTATAAAACAAATAAGATTGGCCGGGCGCGGTGGCTCAAGCCTGTAATCCCAGCACTTTGGGAGGCCGAGACGGGCGGATCACGAGGTCAGGAGATCGAGACCATCCTGGCTAACACAGTGAAACCCCGTCTCTACTAAAAATACAAAAAAAACTTAGCCGGGCGAGGTGGCAGGCGCCTGTAGTCCCAGCTACTCGGGAGGCTGAGGCAGGAGAATGGCGTGAACCCGGGAGGCGGAGCTTGCAGTGAGCTGAGATCCAGCCACTGCACTCCAGCCTGGGTGACAGAGCGAGACTCCGTCTCAAAAAAAAAAAAAAAAAAAAAAAACACAAATAAGATTATCATTGTCGCTATCATCTTTGTCAAATTCTCCAAGCAATCTAAATATGCTTGGCAACATAGCTGAAAAAAGCATTATCCGTTACATTTATCAGTAACAAAGACATACATTTGAAGGGGAAAAACACTTGTACTGACAACACAAGGTCAGAATTAACATACAAATTCTGCTGGTCACTTTGGAATATTTAATTGACTGGAGAAGTGTTTTGTAGACAAATGCTCTATGGAGCACCTGAGGTAGGGGGAATCAACAAAACTTGGGTTTCAAAAGTTACCTGGGTTTAGAGCATGAAACTTGGTTGGAGGACACACACCTTGCATGAGCGAGGTGCCTCAGTGTGTGTGGACGTGTTGGAGGTACAGTATAATGGTGGCTTCCTCCAGAAAGGGACATTTGGGGTAGATTCGTTCCATTTGAACAACACAGCCTGATGTGGCATGCACATGAATGGAGGTGAAATGGACAGTAGCTGACAGGAGCAGTCCTGACAAGGCCAAGGTGAAAAACCTGGAAGTCCTTCAGGTGCAGAGCCTTCAGTTGAAAAAGGAGGTGGCCCCAGGAAATACTGAGATGGATCAGCAATGCATGGGAGACAGAGTTCTTGGCCCTGTGGAGTGAGTAGTGTGGATTCTCAAGTTTTCTCCTCTCTCCATTGATTTCTCTGCCAATGCAGATGACTTCCATCATACATCTTCAGCAACCTTGAAAGATTGGATGAGCTTCGGCCCAGTCTTGAAAGTAAAGGAAGGCAGCTAGCAAGGCTGGCATCTGGGCTTGGCTGTGCATGTTTTCTATTGTGGGGAAATATATATAACAGAATACTTATAATTTGAACCTTTTAACCAAAGTGTGCACACAGTGGCATTCAAAATATTCACAGTGTTGCATAACCAATACCACTATCTACACCCAAAATTTTGATGATTTCTTACAAAACCTTATCTACAGTAAGCAATACAGCACTTTCCCCCTATTTCCAGGCCATGGTGATTCCTATCCCCACTTTCTCTTGTATGAATTTGATTATTCTAGGCACTTCGTATAAGAACAATTATACACTCTATTCCTTTTGTGTCTGGCTTATTTCCATAAGCATAATGTTTTCAATGTCCACCCATGTTGTATCATCTATCAAAATTGTGTTCCTTTTTTACAGATGGATGATGTACCATTGCATGTAGACCACCTTGCTTTTTGTTCATTGATGGTTGAATTATTTTCACCTTTTGGCTCCTGTGAAAAGTGATGCTATAAACGTTATACAAATATCTGTTTGATTTCTGTTTTCTATTCTTTGGGGTATATACCTAACAGTAGAGTTCCTGGGCCCAACAGGAGTTCTATATTTAACTTTCTGAGCCGCTGCAGATTGTTTTTCACAGTGGCTGCAACTTTATCCATTTCTATCACTAATGTATCAGGGTTACAATTTCTTTACATCTTTGTCCACACTTACTTTCCTTTAAATCATCCTAATAGGTGTATATTGGTGTCTACTTGTGTTTTTCATTTGCATTTCCCTAATGACTAATGATGCTGAGCAGCTTTTCCTGTGCTACTATCAGTGGGTGTATCTTCTTTAGGGAAATATATGTTCAAGTCTTTTGCCCATTTTTAAAAAGTTGTCTGATTTTTATTTAGTTTGTTGTTGTATATTTTTGAATATATTTTATATATATTTAAAATATATTTAAAATTTTAGTCTCTTACAAGGTAAATGATTTATAAATATTTCACCCTTTGTATAGAACTTTAGATTCACAAACTTCATTAATTTTTATAAAATCCTCAGCAATTGACCCCAAACAGATAAGACTGAAGCACTATTTTAGGAATAGTTGAAAGTATTATCACCCCGAAACATAGTCATAATCAAATCCTGCAAGCTACACGTAAGGCACAATGACAAATAAGGCAGCAAAGGGCCATCTGGTGATTAGTCCACCACACTTGTTGCAACTGTTTGTGCTGCAGTTTAAACATATCAGCATTCAACCCACGTCTCCTCTCTTGAAGTAAACTGTCCTATGTTGGCTGGCCTGAACAAGCATAGATAGTCTCCAGCCTCAATTAATATGCATGCATGACAAAGAAGGAGGTCTGGATGAAAAAATATTGTATGATTAATAATTATGCTTTAATTAATTTTAAAGGATATAATTTCAGTGTTTGTGATTCTCCCATCGGCAGTTATAACAAAGGATTAGTGACTAAATACAGTAGACTGCTTTGCCTAGAATTGAATCCAGTCTGTCTATTAAGCTTTGCTTTTATTCAAGTGCAAAATGCTAAAACACATAATAACTGCAGTGACAGCCACTGTGGATCCTCAGAGGATTCCACAAAAATGGTCTTGGGACATAAATCCTACAAGCTAATATTGTTTTACGGGGTTTAGAAAACCAGTTAACTGGGTTTCAAACCTCACAGTGTGAGCAGTGGGACTCTCATCAAACTATAACGTGTGCTTCAATACCATTTGTAGACTGACTCATTCCCATTGCCTTAAGTTGCCATCAGCAAAATGCCAGGGACTCCATTTCTTGCTCCTCGGCTCCTCGTTCTTGCCTGTCTTTCCACAAGGGAAGATTTTTAGCAGGAGCTCAAGCTGTGCTTTTAATGAAACACATCCCCACACACTGTCCTGTTGTCCAGATTAAGCAGAGCTCCCTGAATAACTCATGAACAAAAGCATCTGTGACTAACCATTGCTCTGTGTCCTCCTAGCCTCTGAGGAGTCCCCAGCTCACAAGGAGGGAGGAGATGGAGAGAGGCCGGTCGACACAAGGGTAAGGTTGCCTTGCATTCCCTGAAATAGAAATGTTCCTTTCTTGGTGTCTTTCTTTTTCAACTGACTTTACACATGAAAAAATGACAATGTACATTACAGGTATTAAATGCAGTTTTCTGAGGGGGTGGAAGAAGTGACTCTTAGCAACTGATACATAATCCAAAATGTCATTTACCTATGACGGCTGCAGGTTGTACACTGTATCCTTGGGGTTCTTGTCCTTGGAAGCAAAGTCTTCTCCTTGGATTCAGTATTTTGCACTTGCCAACCTACGTGGATCTGAGAGATCCACCACCCAGAAGCTGATGTCTTTTCCAGTGTGTATCCTACCCTTGTTTGGGGGGGCTTGAAGTTGACTACACTTTCTGATCAAGTTTTCAATATTCACTGAGAGAAACAGAGTCTTGTGCGAAACAATCCACAACACGACGTACCCTTCATAAAGCTTTGTTTCTGTATTGCAGGTGGTGCAGGCGGCCCCTCTGAGTTGTGACTCTAGTAAGTATTCTGGAACTATTTGCCAAAAAAAAATCTGGATGCCAAGAAATGTGTGGCATCCTTGCAGGTTTCAATGTGAAGAGCCACCCTGATCCTGGGATTGGGATAGGAATAAGCACAGTGGAAATGTTTTTTAAAAATCTGAATTCCCCAGGGAAATATTATGGCCAATTTTTGAGGAAGCAGCTGTGCTCCCTTTTGGGTGGTGCTGACTTGGGTGCTTGAGGATTCGTGGTGTCTCATGTGAGGCTGCATCATGTGGTGTGAGTGTGTGCGTTTCTGTACAGATGAGGCTGTGTGTTTCCTCAGGAAAGATTTCCCATTTATACAACCCAATCACAGGTGTCCACTTCTAAAAATAAAATCCACCCCCCGCCCACTGTCTCTGTGCAGTGGCTCCTCCACCCTCACCAGAGCCATCCCTGGGTCTGGCTTATTTTCCCCACTGCTCAGGTGGAGATCCTGAAGGGCCAAGGGGGTGGCCCCAGCTCCCAAGTTCCTGAATGAAAAAGTGAAAACACGAACCCAGGAGTGTGGGCCTGTGCTGACGCTGACATGCACTTAGTCATGGGGTGTTTGCCACCACGCAGGGAGTCCAGCATTCATGTATAAGCCCTAAAGCACCGAGCCCAAAAGGCCCCAGACACAGCCCATCATCATAAAGTGACCTCCATGGTCACACAGCCCAGGGCAGTTCTAGGCACATCTCCCCATGGGCCGGCGTAGTCATCAGTGTGTCAAAAGCAAAAGATCCCCGGGGGTTTGAGTCAGCTCACAGAGCCTGTTTTTGTTGTTGTTGCAGTTGTTGTTGTTGTTTTTAACTTTTAAGTTCAGGGTTACATGTGCAGGATGTGCAGGTTTGCTACATATGTAAATGTGTCGTGAGACACATTTACATATGTAAATGTCATGAGAGTTTGTTGTACAGATTATTTCATCACCCATATATTAAGCCTAATATCAGTTATTTTTCCTGATCCTCCCCTTCCTCCCACCTCCCACCCTCCAGTAGGCCCCAAGCTCACAAATTCTGAGAGGAGTGGGGGACCACGCAGGCCAGTGCGGCCCACTTCAGTTGTGAAGTTAATTTGCTCAGCAACTTAACAAAGCCTATAAGGATGGGTGATGTATTTTAGTAGATTTAGTAATATTCTCTTCCCAAGCCCTAAAATGCTCAAATCCTGCCAGCTGAAAATGGTGAGGAGGGACAGATGGGAACTCTGTGCAGCACTTGGTTATTAGCCTGGCTTCCGTCCCCTTGTGGCAACTCTCTTGTGCATGTGGGTTAAAGACCCTCAGCCTCAAGCCAAGCCGCCTCCATGAGGAGCCATCTCACTATTGACTGGCTAGTGCGGTGTATGGCCACCAGCCCAACTGATACAGAATGTTGCTTTAAAACAAGTGTAAATCTCATACAACAGGCAAATGCAGAAGCAGCATGTCTTGCAAGTTGTAAAGAAGACGGTCACAATGTCGCTGGACTTCAACCTGGGTAGAAGAAATGAGGGAACTCTGTCACTGAATCACAGCAGAGTTCAAAGCCACTTGTAGACTATTTTGTGTTACAGAAGGTGGCCTTTAGCTACTAAGCAAAGGCCTCTGTTTCTCTTTTCTTTCCTGTTCATCTTCTTGGTCATCCTTCTTCCTCAAGGTAAAAGAGCCCGAGCAAAAGGCAGTTTCAATATTAATCTGACTGAAGTTTTGTGCAGTTTATTATCATCCAGGTAATCAGGTGCAACCCGGTCTGCCTAACAGCCCCCGTATCCCTGCTGTGTGTTTTCTTTTAATAAATATTTTGTTCTACTTACTATGTGCTAGATTTTCTGGAGACCACAAAGTAAATGAGATAGAATCTTTATGTTGACAGCTACGTTGGATTTAACATAACTGACAAAAATTAAAATTTCTGATTTCTTGTAAAAATATTTAGTATGTGTGAATGCATACTGAATATAAAGTGGTTAACAAAAAATCACACTTGCACTCATGGAAGGCTTTTCATGAATTTGTCAGTTTCTTTTTTTCAATATTTCCCCACTTCTCTGGATAATGCATATCTGAACTTGGAAACTGATTCCCACTGCAGAAAGTGTTCTGAGCCACATCCCTTAGCTTCACTGGTGCAGATCCACCCGGGAGGGTGGCCCAGCATCAGCTTGGCCCATGCTGTGATCAGCCACCTCCATGCACCACACCAAGCAAGCTCCCTGGGTGATTCACAATCTCCACCACCAGGGCACTGACCTTTATTCTGTGTTCTCCTAGCTCCCCATGAGGACGCTGTACACGACATCACTAATGAGGATGCTGTACATGACATCGCTAATGAGGACACTGTACAAGACATCGTTAATGAGGACACTGTATACGACATCGCTAATGAGGACACTGTATACGACATCGCTAATAAGGACGTTGTATATGACATCGCTAATGAGGACGCTGTATATGATGTCACTAATGAGGACACTGTATACTACATCACTAAAGAGGATGCTGTACAAGACATCGCTAATGAGGACACTGTATACGATGTCGTTAATGCGGATGCTGTATATGACATCGCTAAAGAGGACACTGTACAAGACATCTCTAATGAGGACGCTGTATACAACATCACTAATGAGGACGCTGTACAAGACATCGCTAATGAGGACACTCTATATGACATTGCTAATGAGGACACTGTATATGACATTGCTAATGAGGATGCTGTACAAGACATCACTAATGAGGACACTGTATATGACATCGCTAATGAGGACGCTGTATACAACATCATTAATGAGGACGCTGTACAAGACAT